AAAGGGGGAAAAAACTATTTGTGTTTAAATGAACACTGTAGTGTCAGGGATACAAACATGTATTCCTGACATTATAGTCTTGGAATTCAGGATTAAATCCCCAGCCCCAGATTGATTTAAGAAGGTGAGTTTTCTCACATTTTCTCCAAAGCCACGCCAGTCTTGCCATGGCTGGCAATTTTGATAAATTTCAGTCAATCCAATCGTCTACCATAGGAAAGCATTGGTAGTCTATTGCGCATGTACAGGAAAAACACAGTGCTTTTCCAATCAGCATCTCCTTATAGAGACGCATAGATTCAGTGCATCTATAGGTAACGTTCAGTGTATCTATGCAGAGCATTGCACTGACACAGGAAGCATCTGTGACTGACTTTAGAGGTATTAGTTAGCACCAATGTAAGCATTGCCTTTTCAATGTACAAGGCAGCGTTTACATTGAAAAGTCTGGAGTGGCAAGCTATTGACACCAGAACCATTACATTAAGTTTTGTTGTTCTGGTGTCTACAGTGTCCCTTTATATGCTGAGCATTGAGCTATGGCATGACAGACTGATGTAAATTGAGTGTGCCTTAAGAGGTTAACTTTGGCTCATTTTTCCAATAGAAAATCCATATATTCTGCTTTTCCTTACAGTGTGCCAAGCATAAGAAAATGTATGTGTCAGCAGATGGGTTATTCTTTGTTTTTTTTCTAAGTGTCTGTTAAAATGTTCATGTAATTTCTTCCCTTCTCTAGTTTCACACTCACTCTCCTTATAGTCTGGCATCTTTCTTTTATATTAGTGTAATATCTGACCAGGCGGTTTGCATATTTTTTCTTTTTCTTTTCTCTCTCATTGCGTGCTGCTTTTTCAAAAGTAAATTTTATACTGTTTACCTTTATCCGCTCACTCTAACTAACCCTTAGAAAACTGTGCACTGTTACCTGCTCTTTTGCAGCTTTCATGAATGCTCTCTGTGTGCGTCTACTGAGCTGGCCACACTGCTGTTGTCGGAATTCATTATAGACTCTTCTATTTTCTTAGCATGATCACTAAGTAATTCACTTAAAGGACCACTATAGGCACCCAGACCACTTCAGCTTAATACAGTGGTCTGGGTGCCAGGTCCAGCCAGGTTTAACCCTTTTTTTTCTATAAACATAGCAGTTTCAGAGAAACTGCTATGTTTATAAATGGGTTAATCCAGCCTCTAGTGGCTGTCTCATTGACAGCCGCTAGAGGCGCTTCCACGCTTCTCACTATGATTTTACATAGTGAGAGTAGACGCCAGCGTCCATAGGAAAGCATTGTGAATGCCTTCCTATGGAATGGCTGAACGCGCGCGCGGCTCCTGCCGCGCATGCGCATTCAGCCGAGGAGGAGAGGAGGAGGAGAAGAGTCCCGCGCCCGGCGCTGGAGAAAGAGGTACGTTTAACCCCTTCCACCCCCTAGAGCCCGGCGGGAGGGGGACCCTGAGGGTGGGGGCACCCTCAGGGCACTATAGTGCCAGGAAAACAAGTTTGTTTTCCTGGCACTATAGTGGTCCTTTAAGCGTTGTATTCGCTTGCTGTACGATGTCACATGGATTACTTACAAGGTATGCTATTTTAATAAATGATAACATCGTTAATAACATCACATTTTATCCTCTCTAATAATAGCTGCTTATCAACCGTGTGTTCAAAAGAAGCTACTTTTTACCAGAAGGAGAAGTGATCCATTGCGATTGTCAGGCTTATGCAAACAATTGTAAGTATTTATAAAGGCAATAACTAAAGATGTATTAATGCCAAGTACAAAAAGTGAAAGGGCACACAATTATATTTTACATTTTTAGTATATGATAGAATGGTACTTTTTCAACAAAAGTTATTAGCAGACCCTGTATAGTAGAAGCATAAAAAGTACCATAGTCTAATATGTAAAAAATCAATATTACGGTGGTATGGTTAAAATGGAATACTCCCAATTTACAGAGCTATTTTAAAGATTGGCGCCGAATTTCAGTGAGACCTCATTTATAACCATCTATCCCTATTGTGGATGAATTGCATCTATAGTTCAGAGCCAATCTTTAGAATTGTCTTCTAATAACTTCTATTGAAAAAGTCCTGTCTATCATATACTAAAAAGATAAAATATAATCAACTTGAGCGCTTTCCCTTTTTTGTACTGGGTTTTATCTATTTATTGAGTGTATTTAGGAACAATACATTCTGGTTGTTTTTGCTGCACTGGGTTATATTTTAAATAACACCACTTATTCCTTCTGTCTTTTCTGTATAAAAGATTTATTAAAGTCTACTTTGTTTTCTCCATCTAAAACACATTTTAATACATATTTTTCTGCTGTGTTCAAGCACCAATTTAGATGCATATGAATGTTATTGCGTACATTTGCCATAAAATCCTGCAGCACTGCTCATTCAACTGAATAAGAAATCTGTGCAGAAATTTGCAAAACGATGTGTACAATTTTCTTCTAGTGTCTCACCTCTCTCTTTTAGAAAAATCTCAGTATATTTCTGATTGATAATCGATGTTTATTAAAGTGTCTGTTTAATTATGGTGTTTCAGTCACAACCTTTAGTTTTGTCTGTAACAATTTAAGGTGACTGCATCTTCTTCTACTGATTGCTGGATTCCTTATGGCCAGATGTACATTTAATCTGGCATGTCTGTGACTATCTATGGTGTTCACCGAGACAAAGTAGAGACCTCATTGTGAGCCTGATGTTGTTGATGTGCACTTCAATCCAATTAAAGCTGCTATTTATTGAGCTATTTGTGTTCCCGTACATCTTTGGACTCTACTGTGGTTGATGGAGTTTGTGCCAACTCCTGGTTGGTTAACATCTGCAGGTCACAGGAATGTGTGCAGTCCCTGTCTATTTTCTATACAAATCTATGGTGTTCAAAGATGTCTGTGATGCTCTTTCTCAATAATTAACATACTTATAGTGCTTTCACATAATATTTCATTATTAAATCAAATTTGTGTGCTGTAGATGTCCTGTTGGTATGATGCACACCACTTCACATACTGTAGATCCTCTGGAGATGAAGAAATTCCAGGCATGGTCATCAAAATGGTGGGATGAGGAAGGAGTCTACTCTCCGCTCCATGCAATGAATGAAATTCGTGTGCCCTTCATAAGGTATCAAGTATTTACTGTCTGTCAAAATTCACCTCACTTTTGTTATAAGTTAGTTATAATTCAGTTGTTTTTTGTTGTTGTTTTTTTTGTAGTAAAGTTTGATGGGGTTTATATTTAATGGACTGTAAACATTTCAGAAATATTTTAGTGCTTTGGACTTACTGTGGATTTAGATATCCTGCTGTAGTGCTTTTTACAGACCTACCACTATGATATTGATATAAGTGCAATAACGGTAGATTTGGTCTTATTAAGATGTAAAACAGTAGAAAACACACCCTAATCAAATATAAAGGGAGACCAATGGTGCAGACTAAAAATTAAAAAAACATCAAACCATAAAAAATATTTAAAAAAAAAATACACTCACAAACAAAGATATTAGTAGGCAGGATATGAATAGTCTTCTTAAAGTGCTTCGTCTCTTCTTAATGTAGAAAATGCTTAAAACAGAGCACAAAGACAGACCATAGTGTGTAACTGTATAATATTAAAAATGTAACTTTTATTGGATACACTTACAAAGTGATAGTAGTTATCAGGCTCTTCACATCATATATCAAAGTCTTCCATCAAAATAATAACCCTCAGGATACACAGAAGAGTGGAGACAGAGAAGATGGAGAGGTCCACAGTAAAAACAATGAATAAAAGCTTGCCACCCTACGCGTTTCGTCAAAATGACTTCATCAGGGGCTTGTAGCAGCATAAAATAAAATACAACAAAGTACACAATAAATATCCTGCCTGTAAAAGTCTGTGACCAATCCTGGCGGTGTCTTCAGTCAAGCGCATCTGTAATTAATCTCCTCCACCGGGTTTCAATCTTCTTTTCGCGCTTTCGAAGGCGCGTGCGCTCCAAGCCTCGTTCTCACGTGAAACCGGAAATGCGTACATCTATATCCGGAACGCAAATGCGTTCCACTTCTGTCCGGAACCGGAAGGAAAGAAACAAAATAGGGCGCAGTCTTTACCCTTCCCTCCGAGGCCAAAAGAAAACCAGTATTGGGAAAAAGGTTCCATTTGTGACACATAGGGAACACTCACCAGGAAAAAAAAAAATATATCAGAAAACAAACAACAAAGATAAAATGATTAAAATAAAACGAATATATTATCAATAAAAATGATAAATATAGAGAATAAACTATAAAAAACATGCCATATCAAAGTCTACATTCATACCCTCTGGTTGCATTGTTTTTAAAGTATGAATCCAGAAACCTTCTCTTTGCCTTAATTTTAGTACCAAATCTCCCCCTCTTGCATCTAAAGACACCTTTTCAATCCCTACACATGAAAAAGTGCTTGGATTAAAATTTTGACATCTAATGCAGTGAACAGGAACTGAATGGGTTAATACTTGGTTTTTAATATTATTGAAATGTTCTAAAAATCTTTTTTTCACAGGTCTAATAGTTCGCCCAACATATTGGGTTCCACACCCACATGTAAGGAGATAAACTACATGTGTAGAGTTACATGTGAAGAACATATCACATGTAACTCTACACATGTAGTTTATCTCCTTACATGTGGGTGTGGAACCCAATATGTTGGGCGAACTATTAGACCTGTGAAAAAAAGATTTTTAGAACATTTCAATAATATTAAAAACCAAGTATTAACCCATTCAGTTCCTGTTCACTGCATTAGATGTCAAAATTTTAATCCAAGCACTTTTTCATGTGTAGGGATTGAAAAGGTGTCTTTAGATGCAAGAGGGGGAGATTTGGTACTAAAATTAAGGCAAAGAGAAGGTTTCTGGATTCATACTTTAAAAACAATGCAACCAGAGGGTATGAATGTAGACTTTGATATGGCATGTTTTTTATAGTTTATTCTCTATATTTATCATTTTTATTGATAATATATTCGTTTTATTTTAATCATTTTATCTTTGTTGTTTGTTTTCTGATATATTTTTTTTTTTCCTGGTGAGTGTTCCCTATGTGTCACAAATGGAACCTTTTTCCCAATACTGGTTTTCTTTTGGCCTCGGAGGGAAGGGTAAAGACTGCGCCCTATTTTGTTTCTTTCCTTCCGGTTCCGGACAGAAGTGGAACGCATTTGCGTTCCGGATATAGATGTACGCATTTCCGGTTTCACGTGAGAACGAGGCTTGGAGCGCACGCGCCTTCGAAAGCGCGAAAAGAAGATTGAAACCCGGTGGAGGAGATTAATTACAGATGCGCTTGACTGAAGACACCGCCAGGATTGGTCACAGACTTTTACAGGCAGGATATTTATTGTGTACTTTGTTGTATTTTATTTTATGCTGCTACAAGCCCCTGATGAAGTCATTTTGACGAAACGCGTAGGGTGGCAAGCTTTTATTCATTGTTTTTACTGTGGACCTCTCCATCTTCTCTGTCTCCACTCTTCTGTGTATCCTGAGGGTTATTATTTTGATGGAAGACTTTGATATATGATGTGAAGAGCCTGATAACTACTATCACTTTGTAAGTGTATCCAATAAAAGTTACATTTTTAATATTATACAGTTACACACTATGGTCTGTCTTTGTGCTCTGTTTTAAGCATTTTCTACATTAAGAAGAGACGAAGCACTTTAAGAAGACTATTTATATCCTGCCTACTAATATCTTTGTTTGTGAGTGTATTTTTTTTAAATATTTTTTATGGTTTGATGTTTTTTTAATTTTTAGTCTGCACCATTGGTCTCCCTTTATATTTGATTAGGGTGTGTTTTCTACTGTTTTATATTTATATTGAAGACCTTGAGGAGTCTTTTACACATCCCTACTAGGGGTAATTATTTTTAAAAAAAAAAGTTTTTCCCCGTTTGATAGCCACAAGGGTTATTCTATAGTGTTTGTGATTCACTATATTTTGTTTGTATATTTCTTATTAAGATGTAAATGTTCAGTTATCTTGAAAGATTTACCTGTTGGAATATATTACTGGTGTAATTCTAGATGGTAATATTTTGCACTTGATAAAGAATATTTTGCACTTGGTTTCAAAAATTAATTTTATGTATTCTTAGAGACATCCTTATGAGCAAGGACTACAGTCACGATGTTGGGTGTCCTCTGGCAGGTGTGACCCTCTTAGATGTTGGCTGTGGAGGAGGAATTTTGTCTGAGGTAATATTGAACTAAATTTCTTAAATGACAATTTACTGAAATTATTATATTTGTTATTGCAATGAAGTCTTGGCCTTATCATAGCTGTAATGATTTACTTTAAAAACGTATGTTCTAGCAACTCTCCATTATTATTGGGAAGGAGGGGGTTGGTACTTATTTATTTTTATTTTTTAAGGAATATGCCATAAGTGCAAGTGCACATATTAAGCAGCTTGTTTAGTACATATTCAATGTACACTATAGACAAAAGTATTTGGACATCTGACCATTACACCAACATAGACTTTCATGACTTCGCTTTCTAAATACATAGATATTACTATGTAGTTCATATCCTATTTGCAGCTATAACAGTTTCCACTCTTATGGGAAGGATTTCCACAAGAGTTTGGAGTGTTACTGTGGGAATTTTTGCCCATTCATTCAACAGAGCATTTGTGAGGTCAGGCACTTATTTTGGATGAAAAGGCCTGGTTCGCAATCTCTGTTACAGTTAATCCCAAAGGTGTTTGATGGGATTGAGGTCAGGGCTCTGTGCAAACCAGTATATTTCTTCCACACCAAATTCATCCAACCATGTCTTTATGGACCTTGCTTTGTGCACTGGGGCACAGTCATGCCGGAATAAAAAAGGGCCTTCCCCAAGCTTTTCCCATAAAGTTAGAAGCATAGCATTGTCCAAAATGTTTTGGTATGCTGAAGCATTGAGATTTCCCTTCACTGAAAGTAAGGGGCCTAGCCCAATCCCTTAGAAACAGCCCATACCATTATAACTCCTCCATCAAATTTTACAGTTGGCACAGTACAGTCAGGCAGGCAATGTTCTCCTGACATCACCCATCACACTGCCAAACAGAGAAGCGTGATTCGTCACTCCACAGAATACATTTCCACTGCTCCAGAGTCCAGTGGTGTTGTGCTTTTACACTACTTGATCTAACGCTTGTCGTTGTAGTTAGTGATGTGAGGCCTACATGTTCCTGCTCGGCCATGGAAACCCATTCCATGATGCTCTTGACGCACAATTTTATTGCCGATATTAACACCAGTGGAAGTTTGTAACTCTTTAGTTATGAAATCAGCAGAGCATTGGTGAGTTTTACGCACCATGTGCTTCATTACTCGGTGAGCTCGCTTTGTGACTTTACTTGGTCTTCCGCTTCGTGGCAGAGTTGCTGCTGTTCCTAAATATTTCCACTTTCCAAATATACGACTTACAGTTGACAGTGGAATATCTAGCAGGGATGAAGTTTCACGAACTGACTTATTGCTAAGGTTGCATACGATCACAGTACCACACTTGAATTCACCGAGCTCTTCACACCCATTTTTTCACAAATGCTAGTAAATGCAGACTGTATGGCTAGGTGCTTGATTTTATAGTATGGGTCTAATTGAAACACCTTGTATTCAATAATTAGGAGGTGTGTCCCAGTGCATTTGCCCATTAGTGTACATACATGCTAAAGATGCAGTGACCATTTTTGGGAGTGAAGTGGCACAATGATTTTTTTGTGTGTTTTTGTTTTTTTGTATTTCTTTTTTCAGTGGAGTGTTTTCCTTCCTATAGATTTTTGTTTTTTGGTGTTTATCTAGCACCAACATTTTGTGTAGGACTTTGGCAAACTAATAAAAATTTTTATAGGAATTAAGCGGATACTGAGGTCTTGGAACAGAGGTAGGCAACCTTTTGGTTTTTAAATATTGTGGACTACATCTTCCATAGTGCGTGTGTTTTTTTTTTTTTTTTAAAACCATGTTCTGGGGTTTTTATTTTTTTTGCATAAAACTGATTTTAAATGTTATTTTATTCTCTACTGTGATCTACCCTCTCTTAGCCACTTGGTAGACTTGGAGCTACAGTTACAGGAATAGATCCTTTGGAGGATAACATTAAAACGGCAGAACTGCACAAATCCTATGATCCTACCCTTGAACACATGATACAGTACAGATCATGCTCATTGGAAGACATTGTGGATGAAAACAAGCAATATTTTGATGCAGTTGTAGCATCTGAAGTTATAGAACATGTGGTTGACAAGGAATTATTTATCCAGAACTGCTTCCATTTACTAAAGGTAGGCCATCACAAATAAATATAAATTAATTTTATATATTTTATATATAATTTGTTTTAGTGTATTACGATAATGAATATCATGGTACATTACTAAAAACAAAACTGTGATTAAAAATAATGTTCGTTTAAGTTCACTTTTGTTTCTCAAAGCCAGGTGGATCTCTTATTATTACAACTATCAACAAAACCAAGTTATCCTATGCTTTAGGTATAGTGGTAGCTGAGAAGATAATGGGCCTTGTCCCAGAGGGCACTCATGACTGGGAAAAATTTATCTCTCCAGAGGAATTGGAGCGGATTTTAGAATCAAGTGAGTCTTTTAGGTCTTGCTTGTAGATAATTAGAACCACTGTTTTAAAGTATATTTTTGTTTTCTTACCTGACTAACAAATATTATTTATCTACACAGATGGTTATGTTGTAGAGACCCTAAGGGGAATGTTGTACAATCCACTCTCTGGTTCTTGGAGTTGGATCGAGGACACCAGCATTAACTATGCCATCCATGCCGTAAAAACTGTTGCTCAGAAACAGTCTACAGATATAGGGTTTGAGCGTGAGTGGGAGAAACCTAAGGCAGCACAAGCTTTTGCATGAAAACTCTTTGGGAATAAAACCATGCCAGCCTCCTGTTACACCACCTCAACAAAGAAGAAATGCCTGTGAAAATAGTGTGCAGAAGCTATAGACTTTGTTATGACTACTTATGTAAATCTAGTAGCTTTCAAAAATATGGCAGTGTGTGTGTCTTTGATTGGAAAAAAAATCCCTCCATTTGCAGTTTTTAGAAAACTTCTGAGTAACTTAAGAAACTAGACTATTGGTAGTGTTAAGTATTTTGTGATTTGCATGCCGAAGGCACCAAGTTGCTTGCAGTCAGGGCTGGTTCTTCCACAACTCTACAATAAGTTAAAATATACAAGCACTCGGCATGAATTACATATCCCTGGCCAGGTCTCGGTTCCCACAGTATAATGTCCAAATATTAGCCAGATCAGAGGTGCCAAGCCCAAGGGATCATTGAATAAAGTTTTGACTGGGCATTGGGCACATCTCGATCTGGCGTGGAACTCCAGACTGATGGCGGCTAAGTGCTGGTCTTTAATTGGGAGTTCCTGCGGTCTTGAAAAAGTTGTCTCCCCCTGGCTCTTGGCTAGGGATTGTTGGTAATGTCCCTCCTTACTTCCCCTCCAAATAGCACTCTCTTAGGTATCTGCAAAAGTAGGTAAAATGGGTCGCACAGGAGTTCCAGAGGATTAGGGTCCACTGAAGATTTTGCGGGTGCTCCAGCCTTGAAGGACAATGCTACTGGTTAAAATGAGAGTGTGTGCTGACAGAATACATGAAGGGTTGAGTAGAGAAGAGCCAAAGGAGTGATATAGTTGTTTGATGATGCAGTATAATAGAGTCCTGTGCCAGTAATCCATGGAAATACACAGGTTCTGCCACAATTTGCAGTTTCCTTTTCAGTTTTCAATAGTTTCCATTTTAATGAATAACTGTTTCCCACCCGGGAGAGACAATCAAAATTTGCCTCTTTGTGTTCCTTAAGTTTTTGTTTTTGGATGTAAGAGAGTACAGTAAACATATAGGTGTTTATTCACTGAGCAAGTTGTGCAACATGAAAGCGGTGTTTCGTAATTTAGATCAAAACACATCCAGCTACCTTTTGCAGGTTGTTTGTCATGCCACTGCAATCTGTTTAGTGAATAAACATGTAGTAATATTTAATTTATTGCAAATTATTATTTGTGATTTTATAATCTTTATTGTATTTTTTTCATTTTATTGCAAATTACTTAAAAAAAACGAACCAGTAAAAGCAGATGAGAAATATAGCTTTGACCGTCATTTCAGTGGGCACCACATTGGACTATATTTTCAAACCACTTACCACATCTTAGGTGACATATCATGCATTAAAAGCTGTAATGTACAGTGTGATGTACACTTTGCACTAAAAGGCCTGGAATCCCAATGGCAAGGTCAGAACATACATGCAACACTACCTGCCAATAATAAATAACTTTTCTTCAAAAACTGACTTGCAGGAAGAGGGGCTGGGAAAACCGAGCATAACTCAAAAAGTCTTCGGCAGACTGCGATAAGCGTGTCCTTGTGCTGCCCGAAAGGAGCTCTAGCACTAATACGGATAAATAAAAAAAGAAATTTGTATAATATAAAAATAAATAATGCTGACATATGTATTGTGAGAAAATAATGGCACTCCTGGTTTTGGAGACACTCGTACACCACTTAACACAATACAGTATTGTGGGATACATACAATTTTTTAATAGAGCATAGATCCACTAATAAATGATACACTTTTACTGACAAATGTATCTGCAATGTGAAAACATTTAGTCACAAAGAACTGTATCACAGAGAATATCTATTCTTTAGATTTTTAAATTTTTTTGGTCATCGTTTTTTAGTCAGCATGACATGAGCGCATTCCATAGAAAATATATTCAAATTATAATATACCGGTAGCTTAAATCCATCACATGGAATAGATTAAGTGACTAGACAATTCTTAACAACAAGTTCTGAAATCGTTCATGTCTGATTATTGTTAAATATTTAGCGCTTTTCTTGGTTGTGCCAGCCTAGCCTTCAAAAATAGAGGATAATTCATACTTTCTGATATTTTTCCCTGATAATGGGCCATGGCAGCACTACCCTTGGGTTGCACAGGAGCCCCTCTTTATAACTTAGCCACAAGTCCAGGGAGGATATGAAGTGCTGCCATGGCCCATTATCAGGAGAGGAAAACCGGTAAGTATGAATGTATTTTCCTCTTTACCAACCATTGCCATGACAGCACTATATTCAGGCACATTCCAAGCTTAAAAATAATGCAGGGATAGAACAAAATAGAATAGCACAACATTTCTGCTGAGAACCATGTTTGATTCATAACACCAAACAAATTATGCTTCTTTCAAGAATCATACATTTAAAAGAGGACCATGTAGACCATATGTCTGGCTTGGGAACTCATGTGCAGCAACTTCCCTAGGGAAACTGGAAGTAATTTTTAGGAATTCAGGCACTCTCTTTTGGACCACCTTGTTTGCATTAAAGGAGGCAAGGATAATGCTCTGAGACTTCTGCATGGGAAAGCATTGGGAAGGTATCATGCATGTGTGGCAAAACACCCTTGCTGATCAGCATCTCCATATGGAGATGTATTGACTCAATGCATCTCTATGGGGAATGTTCAGCACCTTCATGCAGAGTGGCAGGAGGCATCTCTAGTGGTTGTCTGAGTGACTGCCACTGGAGGTGTCCCTAGGCAGTAATGTAAACACTCTGAAAAGACCACATGTACATTAAAAAGTCTGCACAGACAGGATATAGACACCAGAACAACTACATTAAGCTATGGTTGTTCTGGTGCCTATAGTGTCCCTTTAATAGTTCTGAAGCAGAAAAGGATAAAGGAGAAACACCATTCATAGCAGTGAAATAACAGTATATGTCCCATACTTGATAAACAAAAAAGGGAAGAGGCTGATCTTTTTCTTGCTCGTAATAACATGGAGATCATGGATTCCGAGACCCCTTTCTTTCTCAATCTTCTCCTCAATTTTCAGGCCATCAGTTGCAGGGGCTGGAGGTGGATGGGAGGCCCCTCAAACAGCAGGTCTGGTCGTGCTGGGAGATAAAGAAGAACAGCTCTAGAAAGGCTCAATAAGAAGGGAAAGAAAGTCTCCTTGGCTGGTGTGATGAATTACTGCTAGAACCTCCATCTTTTTCTTAAGTCCTCTCAATAGAGCCAGAATAGGAATGGAGGGAAGACATAAACCCCCTGGTTCTCCAGAAACACGAAAGAGCATCAGCTTATGGTTAAGGGATCTTGAAAGAATCTCCTGAACTCCCGGTTGCCACTGTATTATTATGTGAAGCCCTGAGTGAGCTCCCCATTTGTCCAAGATCATCTAGATGGCCCAGTTCAATAGAAAATATTGTACTGAGTGTACTGAATTTTGGATGAGGAAATCCACTTTCTGGTTGATCTTTCTTGGAAGTTATACCACAGACAATCCTTCGACATTGGCCTGAACCCAAATCATCAAAGGGACTAAAGTTTTCATAATTATCTTGTTACGGGTCTTCCTTGGTGCTTTAGGTAAGCCACCACAGAAATATTATCCACATTCACCAACTGATGCTGAACTTCTGAGTTCAGGTGAAGAAGAGTCTTTAGAGTCATAAGACATTTGAAAAATTTATTTTAGAAATCTGGGCCAATTTGCTAAAATATGTGATAGATCTGGGTGTGTGCTCCTTAAATAGATAAGCATGCATCCACACATAAAATTATACTAAGCTAGCTGTACCATTAGACATTGAAAAGTACATCACATACGAGTAACAGAAAGCACAAACTCGGGTAGAGACAGAGTAGCAGGCAGTGACAGTATAAGAAGCAAAAATTCTCTTGGAATTCCGAGGTCCTCCTCTTCCAATTTTTCTTCATATCCTTTTTCTAAGAAATCCTTTTTAATTTTATTTGACTGTACCTTAAATATATCTATGTCTGTACAATTTCTCCTTATTCTTAGAAATTGTCCCTTAGGGGCATTTTCCAACCAAGGCGAGAAATGGCAATTATCTCTACCTATAATGCTATTTGCTTCTACTGCTTTAAAATGTTTTTTTGTTTTTGTTTTAATAGTATTATCAGTATATATATGCAAGTCTAAAAAAATTATTTCTTGTTTCCTCCAGTTGCAAGTTAATTGAATCCCCCATGTATTAGTATTTAAATAATTTTTAAAAGTTAGTAAATCTTCTTCCCTTCCCTCCCATATAAAAAAAATGTTGTCTATATAACGGCCATAGGTGACCAAGTTCTCCACCCAGTCATGCTGCCCATATATAAATGAATTTTCCCAATGGGCCACTTCCTTTACGTAATTATGAGGGATATTGCTGTATAGTGATGTTACATCACAGGTAACTAGAAAACATTTGTCATTCAATTTGCAGTTTTCTAATAGCTGAAGCATCATTATTGTATCTTTTAAATATGCTTTAGTTTTTTTAACTATAGGCTGTAGATGGACATCGACATAAAATTTCTAAATTAAGACCCTTATTAAAATATGTAGTAAAAATTCTATTTATTTCTATACTTGGATCATTGGTTAATTTTTTATATGTACTTTCATCTTTTAAAATTCTCTCTGCTTCTTTTTTTATAGAAATCTTTAGACATTAAAACTATCCCTCACCCTTTGTCCGCAGGTTTTATAATTAAATTTGAATCTTCTTTTAAATCTTTAAGTGCCTTAAATTTTTTTGTATAAGACTCTTCTCTTTTTTCTAGCTTTTTTACATCGGTCATCAGCATAGTTTCAAAGTAGCCATCGTCTCAGAAATCATTTGTTTTGGATAGAATTGCGATTTTAGTTTTAAATCAGTATAAGTTTTATTTTCTGTAAAAATCGGATTCTATCGGATTCTTTTTTAAAAACGATTTAAAAGGAATTTTATGTTTAAAGGTATTTACAGAAGGGATAATAATAAGGTATATACCTTTTTATTTGATTTTATTCCATATCTTTTTTCTTTGCACATAAGCGCTGCACCGGTACATCTCCCTGTTCTTATGTAGGGCACTCCTGCCATTCTCAGGCATCTGGTGAGGTGAGACATAGACTTACACCATTGAAGTGTAACTTTGATTCCGAGACAGCAAGGAATAATGACAGTCTATTTCAACATTCAAATATGTTCTTTGAAATAATGAGACACATACTACTAGAATAAAATAAGGTATTAAAGTGACACTGTCACCCCCTCCCCTTGCAAAATGAATATATCATAGATAATTGAATAGATAAAATCTTTATGAAATACTTGTTAGCCAAGTAGCCAATTTAGCCTGAAAAGGCCTCTTCCAATTAACCAGTCAGAGGCCGGAGTAGTGGAAAATTAGGAACACATCTTTATTGCAATAGAGAGAGAAGCAGTGAAAATTGGATTCTGATTCACAGAGCTTATATTTTGCATATATACAAGTTATTAGTTGCTGCAACAGGAATATGAGTTATCCCTATTTTCTACCATTTCTCACAATATAATACACCTATCCCTTTGTTAGCGCTTATCTAACAAAAAGGGAGAGCCGTAGCATCTGTTGTACCTAAAAATCTTAGAATACAAACAACTTGAACTACTGACCTTTTACTTTTGACTTTTAATTCTTCTATTATGAGACACAAGATTATCTAATGCATCAGTTAGATAATACTGGTTTGCATTTTAGCGTTACATAACTATATGAATATTTGCCACATACTCATACTGACTTTCTTGAAATTTAAATGAAATTCCAACCCAATCAAAGATACACTGAGACAGTTGGAACTACTGTGTCTCAGTATTCCTCCTTCACCTGACACTTCTAGACACTGGGTGGAGCTAACACTATATAGACGTGTCAGTCTCCCAGCTGTATCTATGGAGGATCCCCCTGTCTTGTATTATCCTCCTTAGATCTCAATGCTGTATTCTCGTGCTGAAGCGCCAGGAGCTGAAGAGGACCAGCCGGAAGAAAATGTCGGCAGTCCTAAGGGACAAGTCCAAGTAAGTTAATCCCACCTTTCCCTTCTCCCACGGCCACTGGACCACCAGCAGAAATTGATGCAAAGTCCCCAGACTGTGATAGTGCCACTTTACTCTTACACTGATCTTGCTATATTCATTTTTAAAACTATTTCATTATCAAAGTGTAACTTGTTCCACTCACCAAACCTCTTTATCACATCCTGTATTTATATTATTTTAATTTTTTTCCCAAAAATGATTTGGTAC